ATAGAGATATAAGATAAAATGATGGTTACCAGAGTGGAAGGAAATGGGAGATGTAGGTCAGCAAATAGAAAATAGCACATATATACAATGAAGAAGTCTAAACAATCTGATGTACAGTATGAAAATTATAATTGATAAAATTGGATTGTATTAGAGATATTTGTTAAATAAGTAGGCTTTAACTGCTCTTGGCATGCACACACACAGACACATACACAGTAACTATGTGAGATTATAGTTATGTTAATTGCTTCACTATAGTAACCATTTTACTATCAGTATGTACCTCATAGCATCATTTTATAAATCTCAAATAGATACAGTACATTGATTAAGTCCACAGTGCAGAAGAATCATCAAGTATAGCTATTGTTATACCCACATAAACATAGGAATCCTCGAAGTAGAGTTCAAGTGATATTTTTTTGTTAGGGACCTGTTGGGTACGTTAGTTAGCTATTCTCACTGATGAATAACTGATTTTTAAATATTTATTTTTATCCATGTCATTAGCTCACAAAATAACATGTCTCACATTAGAAAACAACAAATGCTGGTGTAAAGTCAACACTATAGGGGACCATAATCCCCAAACATACCATAATCTGCATTACACCTTAAATTGTGCTGTAACTCTGTCTCTGGTATGTCTTTAAATTTCCATTTTCCTACTATATGAATCTTTAACATTAACTTCTATTTTACAGTCCCATTTCCTGTGGTTTAGCAGTGACATACTTCATAAGACTTGATGCAAAGAAGCGAGAAAATATAAATAGACCAAACAACAACTTTCATGTTGAGTGTGAGATTTTCTACTATTTTAGGCCTTTGAGGGAGGTTAGTTCGCTCAAGCTCTAAAATGTTTATAGCTGAGACTACTTGCACCCAGCAGGAGCTGACCTAAAAAGCAACATCAAATATTCTATAGTCATGAAAATGAAAGGAGTTCCTAGTTCTGAAAGTATGCAAAATCTTTGCAGTGAAGAAAAGGGTGCTTCTCTATTCAAAATTCCATCATGCATAATCCCACATCTTTACAATGGTAACATGCCTTGAAGGACATTAGCCCCCTTTGCTGCACCGTTAAACTAATTAATTGACTTACAAGTCATCTATCTCCCCAACAGTGTTATAAAAGTTCTTATGAATTGAGAACCTATTAGGTGACTCAGAAATTTGGATAGAAGAAACCTATTTTGAAATGACTGATCAGATTAATATCTAATTTATATATTGCATACTCTAATGGAAAGTTTATGCCAGAAAAATTAATATTGCTTATTTTGAAAAGTTAATTCAGATGTTAGGATTAGAAGTATTCACATCTGTTAATTTCGATATGCTTCTATAAAGTTTTTGGAAGAGAAGCCAGGGATAAAGTTTATCATGAGCTAATGTTCTAGTTTGTTATTGTTTTTTCCATAGCATGGATTTATTTCCTCATGATACCAAAAAGATACATAATTTAAATTTCAAAATTTTGTTAGAGACGGGGAAAGAATTTTAATTTTATCAGGTAAAATACATAAGGATATATTGATTGCCTGTACAATTAAAAAGGTCTATATTGCTAAGGGAAAGTTACATTTATACATTGAGTTTCTTTAACCTGTTAACGATTCACTTTTAAAAACCAATGAATATTTGTTTGCTATTCTGCTTATCTATGCAAATATTTTATGAATTCAGTGTTACTAAAATATGTAAAGAAAAATATTTGCTATTTTAAAATAAAGTTTATGCAGATTCATTATAGAAAATTTTGGAAAACAGAAGTACAAAGAAGGAAATCAATAAACTTATCACTTGAAGTCAGTTGCTATTATTATTTAAATATATTTTCTTTTAGTCATATTTCTTTTGGTTTTTCTTTCAATTTATTGTCAATTGACAAATTAGTACTAACATACTATATATAACAACATAATTCTAACAAAATATACTTTGTATCTATCAAAATTCTTAAGAAAAAAAGAAAAGGTGTATTTCTTAATTGACAATTCTTTTAGTCTTAGTACTTTAGTTTCATTATAGCTTTCACAATAATCATATAATCCTTTGTATCATTTTTTATTTGACATTATAACATAAGCATGCTATTTTAAAACATGTTTTAATTTTGTATTGATACTTTACATATTTTTTTGCAATTTTCATTGTTTTGGAACCTATAGTTTCTTTTTCTTTTTTTTCCCAACCTAGGGTTGTGATTACTAACATTACCATAAATGTTATATATATTGGTTCTACTTTTTTGATTGATTTCCAGAAATGAAATTACTGAGTCAAAGGCTTTGATTATAATTAAAGTGTTCCATACGTGAGAATCAAATAGCTGAAAAATAATGAGCAATTATACATGGACCAGAGATTGTATTAGAATTGGTGATTTGAGAAAGGGTAATAGGAATGGATTATAAAGAAATGTTTCTTTTTCCACCCCTTTTAGGAAAAAGAAAAAGGTTTTAAAAAAAGCATAGTTTAGAAAGAGTAACAATGATATTAGATGGAAAAGACAAGTAAATCAAATCAATATTTTCAAAAATTGTTTTTTGGGGTAGCATTAGGTACTATGATAATATAATAGTTATTAATCTTTGCAAAATAATATATGCAGATTGTAAGACAGACCTATCCATTGTCCCATAATACACAGAGATTTTGCCATTGTAATGAATCCCGTGCTCTGTGTGTGTGTGTGTGTATATGTGTTTTGGGGGAAGGTACATAAAATGAGATTATATTGTATGTATTGTGTGATACTATTTTATATAAAGTGAGCCTTCTCCCCATCACTTCTTAAAATTGATGCTATTTGGTGGCTGTCTGATATTTCATATTTTCTTTATTCTTTGACCTTTATCTTACTTCGTTTTATTGAACTATACTAAATGTCACTTCACTGAACATATTTGTAAGTAAATTTGGCATTTCTGATTATGCAATTAGAATAAATACCTATAATTGGAATTTCTATTTCAAAGAGAATGCCATGTCCAGATTTCTGAAATTCATCCTTGTTAGAGGATGTGGGGTCTGTCTTTTAAATTTCTATAGTAAAGTCTCCCTTAGGTTACCTTGATGCTGTATAGTTCTAGAGAACTAGAATTGAATACAAGATCTCTAATGCTCCTTGGACAAATGTGTGGGTTTTAATTCATTGTGTCCTTCATCAGGGTTACTAACTATAAGGAATCTTTGGAGGGTCCTGAAAGAAATGACTTGCTCAAAATTAAATAAACACCTATGCTGGGTTATTTTATGCTCATGGCATGATCACCTGGTAGTTTTAACCATCTTGATAGTACGTGTGTTTCCTCCTTCTACCCTCTAAGAGTACCTCTTACTGTTGATTCCCAAGACCCATGGTTTTCTGCCTCCTAGCTGCCCATGTGGGACATCTTTCACTCAACCTCCCTGTCTCTCTCATTTTTTTCCCTCTCATTTCTCTGGTTACACTATCTTCCCTCTCCCTTGGTGTGATTGTTCTGAAGGATTTTATCTTTCTTTTTTTCCCCCCATTATTTCTGATTTCAATTGGCTTGATGATAACAAATATTTGCTCATCTCCATGACTGGAGCACAGAGAGAAAACAATCAACAGAGTGTCTCTAGGAAGATTTTTTTTTTCCACTTGGGTTTATTCCTCCTGTCTTTTCCACTTTAAAACTTCCCCACAGAAATCAAACAAAGAATGTCATGGGCTCCACTTCGGGAAGCAGGAACTCTTGGGGAACTCCCTTAGCAGACAGGCATTTGGGGACCTCTGTCAGCCTGCTTTTCATTCCTGGTGACCAAAATACCTGACAAGAACAAGAGGAAAAATTTATTTTGGCTCACAGTTTCAGAGGTTTAGTCAGTGATTGGCTGCCTCCATTGCTCTGGCCTGAGGTGGGGCAGAGCATCATGGCAGAAGGGCATGACAGAGGAAGTGACTCTCCAGTGCTGGCCAGGATCAGAGAGAGTGAGGAAGGAACAAGGGGGACAGGAGATAATCCCCAAGGGCATACCTCCAAGAGACTTACTTCAAGTAGCCACACTCTGACTACAGTTACCATCCAGAACGGTAGTGCTTCAAATTCTTAATCCATCAAATGGGTTAATGCACTGATAAGGTTACAGTTCTTATAATCTAATTATCTTACCTCTCAACATGCCTGCATTAACATAGGAGTTTTGGGGCGACACCTCCTATTCAAACCGTAAAAGGACATTTGAATTTTCCTCGTTCCCTTTGTTTGGACAGCTATATCCTCTTAATTTTGGAATGGTGAATGCTTTAGTTTAGACCAACACCAGATGTTACTCTGAAATGAATAGGTGATTTGTGTGATTTTAGCAATTTAAAAAGTCATCTACATTTGAATATAGTGTTGTATTCTTTATGAAAGATTTTATGGGATAACAAATCTGTTCCTCCATGTTTATCCCAAATCAGTTTCTTAAGCTTTGGAATTGTGTATGGGGAGCTCTGAATACGATTTGGCTAAGTAGAAGGGCATCCTTTGGGGACTAGGTCATGGTAAGTTTTATTTGGCTTGGAGCACAATACCTAGTTACTGAATAATATTAGTTTCAGATTAATAAAGGCTGTAATACAAGCCTTTACATATCACATTTTATTGTCATCTTAACTAGAAGGAGTGGAAGAAAGGGTAACCCTTAGAGGTAATCTTTGTTGCTTCTGCTCAGAATAGGAAAAATTAAGGTGGCAAAAGATAATGAAATTATTTGTTAAAATGAAATTTTTTACTTCTCTGTTAGATAACAATTATACATGACTCTCGAGGTTCCCATCAAAAACTCAATTCAGGGTGATGTTGTTCTACTTGTTTTGTGAAAGTGTTGTACATTGTTATACATACATAGGTGGGATTGTACCCTCAGCTCTAAATTATGTTAAAAGACCATTATCACACGGGAACCTGGAATTTCAATAGTGAATATGATAGGAACTGCTGTAGAGATTTGAATTTGTATCTTACACTGTTTTCCAGGGAAAGGTGATGTGTTTGGGGACATCTTCTGGAAGGAAACCACCCTTGCTCATGCATGTGCCAACGTCCGAGCCTTGACGTACTGTGACCTGCACATCATCAAGCGAGAAGCCTTGCTCAAAGTCCTCGACTTTTATACGGCTTTCGCAAACTCCTTCTCGAGGAACCTCACTCTTACTTGCAATCTAAGGAAGCGGGTATGTTTTTAAATCTGCTTTCCTGTATTAGTACCCACAGGGTTCACATGCTGAGCAATGGAAAAGTTGATTCATTTTGCAACAGTACATCCCCATCAATATAAAGTGTTATCATTTTCTTTTTATATATATTTTGTTCAGTTTTTAAGGGAAACTGATGCCCTTATTATATGAGTGAATATTTGAGTCTTTATTATTTCAGATGTAAAATGAAAAACAGCCTCGAGGAGAAACAAATGAATCATAAACTAACAATGACAGTTTTTGGACTTGATAATGTAACCACAAAATCAATATCAGTGTCTTTTACGTTATTATATAGACTCCTTTAAAGCTGGGTAAGGTTAATCCAGCTGGTTGCCTATTTTACATTCCCAACCCTCTTAAACCATCCTTCTCATTTAATAATCAATTCACAAAGCTTACTCCCATTAATCCTTTCAAAGAACACTATCTCAAAAATTAATTAGCCACTCTGACATATTCCAACAAGTACATATAGGAATCCTTTATTTTGTACTGCTGCTCCAAATTTAATCTTCATTATAATTTTCTTTTTTTATTGATGAGTGTGACACAAATTTAATTTGCATAAAGAAATCTCCTAGCTATGATTTATAGGTCATTGGGCATTGACTGGGGCTCTTTTATTGCCAAGAAGGAAACACATGTTTGGATAGCTGCCCTTAAGGAATTTCATCTAAAATGATTGATTCTTTATGGTGAAGTATTTTGAAATAACAATCCTTTCTTTCCACTATCTCTTAAATAAAACCTTCTCTGTAGTTAACATAGAGGGGGAAAAAAGTCAAGAGACAAATTAATGTCTATACTGTAGCAACATAGAAATGAACATCATTAAATCAACTTGATTCCTACTCAGGGTTCCAAGAGGAGACAAGACCAGCAGGAGTAGTATTTGTACTGGCTGTGTTGCAATATCTGATCTATATTTGAACGATAGTTTCAATTTATGCTTTTGTCAATAGTCATCGATTGAGCATGCAGAACCTGAGACAAGTAAATAGCTTAGAGAACACAAGAACTAACTTCAGATTCCCTATACTCAAGAAGCTTCAAGTGTGAATATGATGTGAAGCACAAATAATTGAACATTGAGGCGGTGATGAGAAGCCAGACAACAACTACATATGGACCTTTCTTTGATTGTTTGTTAGGGAGTGCAGAGTCTCTTTGGACTACCATCTATTTTTTGCAATGACAAGTTCCTGGTCTACAGGGAGCCTGTTAGGAATCTGAAACTATATCCTAAGTCTGTCCAACCTAGAATCTGCCAGATTTGAAATCTTTTCCCTTCCTGCAAGATTACCAAAACCACTATTTTTTGTCATTCCATCTTCAAGACCAATCTCATTTGTCATTGCCCTCCTGAAAACATGTTGTTTACCCTGTATCTCCTTTGATGTTTATAATAGTCCCGTAAAATAAAACAGGCAGTTTTACTTCTCTCAAAGTACAAGAGGAACCTTAGGGCCAGAGGGATTAATATTACAGACCAACCAATATATTTGCAATGGTAGGTTGCAAAAAAGGACAATTAAAACAAATCACCCACAGAAAATAAAAAATGAATGAGTCAATCATAAGCCTCTACCTCCTCTGTTTCTCTTACAAACACACAAACTCTCTTTCTTCATTGGTCATGAGGGCAGAGTGCACATGCCAGTGTGGCTGCCTCTGAGAGAAACCAGGGAGAGACAGAAAATTTGTGCTATTTTTTAATAGGAATTGGGACTGAGCTGCCTGTCTCCTTGGGTACAGAGGTGCTAAGTGACATCAAATGGTGCCTTAATAACCTGTTCCCTAGTATAACTGTGTCACTTTTTTAATAATTCTAGCCCTTCTGCTCTTGATGGATTATTTCAATAAGTGGGCAAATTGTGGGCACAGGGCGTATTATCAATGTCACTTTATTCTTAGCAAAATAAAAATAGGAGAAACTGTGAAAAAATATCTTCCAAGGACCACTAATATAAACTATCATTTTGAGAGCTTATTTTATATGCCCCCTAAACTTCAACATATTTTGCATACAATAATCTTATTAAATATCAGCAACCCACAAACAAGGCACTGTGGCCTCCATTTCATCTATGAAGAGGTCGAAGTTCTGAGACTGGGACAGATAGTTGCCAAATAAGTATGGGATGGTGTTTGGATTTGAATCTATCTCTGACTGATTCTCTGACTGTTTTTCATTCACTTTATTCCCATTGATTTATTAATAAAAATATCTTGTTTTTATTGCAAAAAGTATTATAGTGCTGAATAGTTGTTTTGAATTGTATAATCAAAATTATGTCCTTGGTATGCTGTTGACCCTAACTATCATAACCACTGATTAAAGCCATGTAAATGGGGGAGCAAATTGTGAACCATATTTTCAGCCACAGTGGATTCCAGCTCTAGCTATATAAGTCTTTACAGTGGCTCGGTGGAGAGGTTTGTATAGTGTGCAGTTTTCAGTGGCTGTTGGGAGAGAAGGGATAGTTCTTTAGCTGCCTGCACTCCATCTCCATTAAGGAAAAATGAGATGCTTGCTATGAATATGTAGCTCCCCTTAACTATCCTTAAACTCCTCTATATCAAAGTTCTAGAGATCTAAGTGGTAATTATATCCAAAATAAACTAGAGCAGAGTTTGGCAAACTTTTTGTGTCAAGAACCCTTGTAAATATTTTAGAATCTGTGGTCCAGTCTCAATTCCTCAGCTTTGCCATTGCTCTGTGAACACAGCTGTTTTAGTCACCCAGGACAAAATGCCATACACTGGTTGGTTTAAAAACCAGAAATTTATTTTCCTCAGTTCTGGAGGCTGGCAAGTCCAGGATCAAGTTACCATCCAGTTTGGTTCCTGGTAAGGGCTCTGTCTCTGCTTTGCCGATGACTACCTTCTCACTGGGTCCTCATATGAGACAGGAGAAAGAAAACTCTCTGGTGTCTCTTTAAAAAGCACCAATCCTGTCTTAAGTGTTTTACTCTCATGACCTCATCAAAACCTGTTTACCTCCATATCCCATCGTGTTGGGTGTTATAGCTTCAGCATATGAATTTGGGAAGGAGGACAAAATTTGGCCCATAGCAACAGTCATAAAGAATGTGTTAATAAATGAAGATGGTTGTATTCTAGTGAAACATAGTTGACAAAACAGGTAACTACCTTTGGATCTTAAGTGCATAAACTGCCGAAAAGTTGGAAACTGGAAATTAAATGGGGATGACAATGGGTATACAAGGAGAATTCTTTCTTCATTACAAAGCGAATCTCTGTTACTTACAACCAGCCAGATGACAATCATGAACAGACAATACCATACCGAGAGGAGCCAGGCAGATAGCCAGTAGGAGGGAGCGAGGCTTATCATTGCTGTGGAGACTTGAGTGTTCACACTGTAGAAGGGGCAGCTGCTGCTTGCTCTTACACAACTGAAAATACCAGCAGAGTGTTTCTTGGTCTTCAGTTTTTTTTTTTTCCCCAGAGAAGCTAGAAGTATGAATTTTTATGTGAAATCATATTAGTGTGGTAATTTGGCTAATTTTTTAAAAAAAATTCTATGCTCAAAAAAATTGAAGGAAGTCAAGTAACAAGTCTACTGGCGATTGGTCCAACAAGTTGTTGACCTAAACCTGAGATTTTTTTTTTTTTGGAACCTGGAGACTATAAATTTGATGAGAGAAAATACTATATCTTTATTTGATCTAGTTTATTACTGAAATTTAGCTTTTCCCTAAGTTATGGAAGTGGTAACAAATTATAGTGTTATTTAGAAGTGCTAAAATAAATCATATTTTCATATTATCTTGTATGTATTAAAGATACCTTGAAATGTTTATACTCATCATTATTTATAAATCATGTTCGTTATTAGACCTGCTGCTGCTAGATATATTACTGTGTTAATAAAACACGTGTATATTATAAATTAATTCAAAATATTTTGATAACTGAAGTTCAAAATAATGTGCTTCCTTTGCAATTCTGTGTATTTTATTTTGTGCTTTTAAAACAACTGGTCTGAGAAGAGGTTCATGGGCCTCACCAGACTTGAGGAGGTTAAGATCTCTGTGTAAGTGCCAGAAACTAAACTGAGTTGAGCAAAGGTTGCTATATTTTTTCAATAATAAGAACATAATTCCATAGTTTCCAGTAAGTTAAAACATATTTAGAAAAGGCATGAGAGACAAAAAAGTCAATACGCTTGCTGACTTTATTCATGTATTTATTTACTTAAACAACTCAAGATACCATTTCCTGGAATGACATAATGGTGTTTACTCAATTGAGCACCAGACCTCAGGTATGGGTCAAAGAAGGTAAACAATCTACCTAGCACAAGTGATGACTAAGTTTTAAAGGATTTTCAGTAGACTATATTTTTTTTCTTTTTGGTGGTGCTAGGGATTGAACCCAGGGCCTTGTATATGGGAGAAAAGCACTCTATCAACTGAGCTATATCCTCAGCCTTTTAGTAGACTCTTAATAACTGATATACTTCTGCTTACTCTGCTTGATGGTTACACAGTGGCATTTGCAATCTGTGTAAAAAGTGACCATGATGGTTGCCCTTTGAAGTCTTGTTTATGGAGCCATTTTGGGGGAAGTTGGATTTCATGATAGATCTGTGGCTCGCTGTGCCTAAATGATTATTTAAACATTGTGACTTATGTGCAACATCTACTTTCCCTCTAGAAGTGTGGAATTTTGATAAGTGCCAGGTGGAAAATGGGTAGGTGACCTGTTCTAATAAATAGGCACTGAGTGCTTGATGAGTTTCTGTGGTAGATAACATTTCACCTGTGTTCTCAAAACTCTTGCTGGAGGAATTGGGGAGTGAGCCCCTGAAGGCTTGTGCCTGGCTTCCTCCACACTTCTCCCATGTGCCTTTCTCCTTTGCCAGGATTGCTTTGTATCTTATGTTGCAGTCAGTAATGGCCTCAAGTATAACTCTATGTCAAATCCTCAGAGTTCTCCTAGACAAT